GATATAATAATTATAGTTATATATAGTTATATAAGTGGGCGTGTTGTTCTTCTTCAGGTCGGTATTGATCTCCTGAGCAGGAACCGTAATAACTGATCACAGCGCATTGATCTCTTCTTCACTCGGTGGTTCAAACTGTTCTTCCACCAGTAAGTGATGAGACTGCAAGTTAAAGACAGCAGAATAAGATCTGAGGATGAAACAGTGCATTAAGAGTTATTTCTGTGTACTTTAACTCACATCAGGAGATAAACATGCAGAATAATTTCAGTCTGTCGCTGTTAGTCGGAGTATTACGGTCATTGTAAGCCACGCCCCCTCCCCTCTGTCTGTGCGCTGATTGGACCGCTCCCGTCACCTGACCGGGGCACAGCGGAAGCAGCGGAGTCGGCAGCAGAAAGAAGGTTGAGGAAATAAACAAAATATAAACGATTAATTTAAACCAGAATAAACAGATCCAGTCTCTGCTCTCCGGTACCGGGCGGTACTTCGACCTGTTAACTACCGGATCCGGTGATGTGTCGCAGTTTCAGCCGTTAGCTTTGTTAGCACGAAGCAGATTTCCTGTCAAAGTCCGCCGATAGAAAGTGAAAATATAACAGCGCAGTTACCGGACACATGGAGGCCTTACCGGAGACCTTACCGGAGACCTTACCGGAGACATTACCGGAGACATTACTGTAACTAACTGTGTGTTTATGAGCTAATGCTAGCTGCTAGCTGCTGTTATTATAGTAATAATCAGTAAATAAAGATGGCGGCTGTTGAACCGCTTCAGATACTTTTAATAATCCGCTGTTTTATTATTATTATTATTATTATTATTATTATTATATCATTATTTGCACATTTTTGTTGTTTGAGGCCCAAAAACGGGAATTTCCCACCGCTACGTCGCTACGTCACCATTACGTACTGACGTAGCGGTGACGTCAGGAAGCGTAAATATTAAAACTTTATTTTTATTTAATTTCAAATCTTTGAATCTTTATTTTACTGCTGTATCATCACTGTTGTTACTGAGATACAAGTTCACTCAATAATCCTCAAAGTTAATAAATTAAACTGCAGTTTAAGAAAATTACTTAAAATAAAGAATATAATTCTATATATATGTTATATACTGTATTATTTATATATATGTATACATATATACAGTGAGGTGAAGACATCAGATAATAATACTGCGATATGATTCACATTAATGTTTGAATAATAACAATAATTGTTCAAACAGGAAATGTGTCACTGATGCTGAATTTCAGAATAAATGTATTTGAATCAGGTTTGATACTCGGTGCTTTAGGCACTACAGATGCTACAGTATCAGTGTATTGATCCATCAGTTTCTGTGCTTTCAGGATCCCTTGCAGCCGTCAGGATGCAGAGCACCACCAACTACCTGTGGCTGATCTCAGACCTGCTCGGTCAGGGAGCCACGGCCAACGTTTACCGCGGCAGACACAAGGTACGCCGCCGGTCCACAGCGGTGGATCCTCGTTACCTGTTACAGTCCAGCTGATTCAGTAGAAAGCTCCCAGTCCCTGATCAATACTCGTATTCCCATTAATAATTCAGCTGCAGTGCATCATTAATTATAATATTAATAATATATAATATTAATATAGTCAATAATTTATATATTTTATATTAAATAATGAATAAACAACAGACTCTCTGTAATCTTTGATCTTCTTGTTCTTCTCCTTCCTGAATATACATCTCAATCTCTGGAACATCAATGTTAAAACAGCTTATTGATCTATTGTGTCGTCATGGCAACAGACGTTTATTGATCCTGTAGCGCCATCATCAGGTCAACGTCTGAATGTGTCCAATACAGAACTACAAACATTCCCATCAGCCTCTGCTGCACTTTGTGTTTACTGATCATTAGCTAATGTTAGCATGTACGATTTTAATGATTCATTGAGATTAAAAACTTTACTCAGGTTGGATTGTGTTTATTTATCTACAGTATTCATTCAGATACGCAGTAAACCGTAACACAGATCAGCTGATCAATCAATAAACAGATAGTCGCAGTGTTTCTGTCCAGTAGAAACTTCCTCAGAGGAAACGTGTGGGTGGATTTTCCGGCTCCCCGACGAGAGGAAGCAGAATTATCTGAGTTATCTGTTGACATCAGGAGGGAAGAAGGAAGAACTGTGTTTCGTCTTTTTACTTCTGAAAGCTCAGTGGAGTTTGTTCTCGTCACAGTTTGTGTTTATAGTTGATCCAAAAAATCCTTCAGGCTGTAAACTGCACCGACGGGGAATTTCCCAAAACTTTACACCTGAATCTTTAAAGTCTGAGGATCCGTCTGAACCTGATCTTCTGTTTGAATCTGGTCTCACCGCCTCAGGTGTGTCAGCTCTGATTAGTGAGTCTAATCAGAGAAATGTTCTACTGTACGCGGGTGTGGTACATCTGTAAAAGTATAAAGATTATTTTAGGTTCCACGTCCACAAAACCTCAGGAGACCTGTAAAATGATTCATGTAGAAATGTTTCTGTAAAGTTTCTGTAAAGTTTCTGTAAAGTTTCTGATGATCAGCTCCACATTTGGACTTTGGAATAACATTGAAATGTGTAACATGTGTCTAACTGCATGTTTCTGTATGTCACTGTAGAAAACTGGGGACCTGTACGCAGTCAAAGTGTTTAACAACCTGAGTTTCTTGAGGCCACTCGACGTCCAGATGAGAGAGTTCGAGGTTCTGAAGAAACTTAACCACAAAAACATCGTCAAACTCTTTGCTGTAGAGGCAGAGGTCAGTAACTGATAATGTAGAGG